AATTTAATCACAAATCTTTATTCGCAACGATTACGCGATCCAACCATATATTTTACACTAAACAAATTTCACTCCAGGGGCAATAAATTTTTTTGATGCCTATTAATTTAGCAAAAACCCTACTATCTCATACTAGAAGCTTATCTCATAACGGGGAACTTTCCTCTACGTATTAACAATAAATTTAATCCTAAAGCAAAAATAAACGAGTACTATTATTGAGTGGCAGATTAGCATGATTCATTACGTTAAAGACATTACATTTAAAGTTTAAACTGGTTTCCACGACTAGTTTCCTTAATGATGATTTGCACGGTGATTTGCGTCGTAACTTGTGTTCGATGACGAGAGAAAAATCTGTCAAAAATCTCACGAGCGTTAGTAAATTTTTATAATGAAATCTCCATAGGATTGCCATGACTCTGCAATGACACAAAACAAAACTTGAGGACGATCGGATACAACTAGAGTATTATTATCTAAAGCTTTTCGATCGTTTACTTCGATCAACTATTGTTTCGCCATTAATTGATTTTATTAATTTCGACTGCAATCACAATCCGTATAGTTTTACATACAAGAATAAAACATAGCGATAAGAAATTACACAAATAATATAATAAACAATTATATTTATATTATTTGTATTTAATGTATTTACTCTACAAACGCGTTAAAGTTACTAGCGACCAGTGCAAGAATACATCGTTATTTGTTGTACGTTGATCTGCATATCAAAGATCATGGTTTTTCACTTGCGAAGGCGAGCATTCTGCATCTGACGCGCAGTTATTCCAATGACGTAGGTAGACGATTCCGAACTTTACACGACGACTACTTATATTATAAGCATACGTGACGGGTTTTTAGGCGTGTCAAGGTTGATTTACTCCCATACACACACATTAGACGTATTAATGTATTATTATACGGATATAAAAAGAATAAATTTTTTGGCTAAGGTATTTGGCTAAGTTAGCGCGAAGTATCAATATATATATTTTACTTATAAAAATAACTTGGCTTGCATTCCTTAGAATATCACGCTCAAGTTGTAAACGCGGCCAAATCTATCTGGAGATCCATTCTTTCGCATTGATATTTATCGCAGTGGATGATCTTAAACGCCAATTGTGTCATCGTGATCGAGCAGTTTTGCCATTTGCACGTTTCCGATGACAACAAATGCCCACGAGAGTCACGCTGCAAGAGCGGCATTTCGCTTTGTCATTTTTAACGGGAACTGTGACTTCTCGCCGGCGACCCGCGGTGAAACTTATCGCGCCTGATGGTTCGAAGCTGGTTGGGAAAAACCCGTTTCGACACCGTTTCCATTAAAGCCCGCAGCAGCAAGCGGCCTTTAATCCCCACAATCTGATTCTGTCACGGCCAGGCGAGAAGAACGGCCGTAAATATTTTGCACCGGCTGTATTTCTGTTTCGCATGACCGCGATTTGCGAGAACGGAAAATCATAAAAGCGCCCACGGTTAGATGCGCAAGCACGAAGATAGTGCATTTCGCAAACAGGCGTCGTACACCTTGCCTAATCGTTTCTGAGAAAATCTCATTGACGCTTAGAATGACTCCAAATGTGGCCGCCTCGAGTGCACCATCAAGTTTCTATTGTAACGATGTTTACACACAAATATTTGCATCGAACATACGTACATGCATACACAGTAAAAAATCGTGTGTTCAAACGTTACAATTTTCTTGCGCTACCGAGATTTGATTCTCGTTTCAATGTAAAATTAACAAAACGTATATGTTATTATTTTCGTAACACTTTTATGTGTCCTATCAAACGTTGACTGTGCTTGACACTTTGACTATTAGCTCAATTTTTTAACTTTTTAACTCCATATTCTTTACTGTGCAGAGTGATTCCATTTCCGGACCATGTACCTTTTTACAATCACACTCTCTAACACATCACCTATTACTTGCTGTCACATTTAATTGGTGACACTTGAGAAGGACCAGTATTACTGGTCGAAACGTCGTGAATTAATTAAAATACACTTTGCCAGTTACCGTCGATATAATCCTTTATTGTTGTGTTTATGTGTTATATTCATGTTAACAGAATAACTTGACACTTGACGTAAAAGTTGTTTAAAAATTGAACATTACTTAGAGCTCTTTTAACACAGCTGTTTCGCAAATTCAACCGAAACATGTGATATCGACATTTCCTAAAAATTATTTCGACTATTCTGATCCGTAACTATTCGTATACAGTTTACTTATCCTGTTTTTATTACATCACACTTAAGGTTGAAAGAACACAGACATAAATGTGAAGTATAGTGTTGATTAATTAACATTTATAATTCGTCAAAAAGTAACACGCGAGAAATGTTATTCCAACGTTTGGAGCGGACGTTTTGGGATATGTGAAAAATGTTCGCATTAACATTTTATTTTTTACCACGTACGGCACGAGGTATCGTCAGTTTGAAATCATAAATGAAATATCTTGTGTTCGATTATCCGTTACACGTAACACGTTATCTACTAAAAAAAAAACCTTCACGTGTCTGCACTATTTAAAAGATATTTATCAAAGCATCCTGTGCGGCTTAAAGAAGATTACTGATCTGGTATTTCCGTCTCCGACGCCAGCGGCAAAACCGGAATTCCGGCGGGCGTAAAAAGGTGTAAACGATGAGACTTCAACCAGATATAAGAATGCACATTCCACTGCCACGGAGTGTTCCCTTTTCCAAAGCCGATAAGGAAACCGCGGCTCGGCCGTGAAAACCGCGCGAAGATAAAAATCTCGAAACGAGAGTCGGCACACAATGGAAAAAACGAGTTCCAGGAAAATTTCCAGAGGAAAATGTACTAATTTTATGTCGCTCCAGCCGCTGCGTGTGTCATTAATTGTTTGCGTCGGTGTTTCGTAATTACCGTCGCTCACGCGAGTTATCGGCAGAAATTATAAATGAACTTAATTACGAGACGCAAGCAAGATGGTATTTATAAGCGTTGCACATAAGTTTAGAAAAAATAATATTTATTGAGGCGTACAATCTATGTTGAACGTTCTGTGACAGATTGACAAAATGTGTAATTCCTGAAATCGCTACAGCAACACCGTGCTCTTATTTCCTCACAGCGATCGAGAATTAGTTGAAAGCGACATGTGGAAACTTAAAAGACACGTCATAAATAATAAGATAATTTTTATCTCCCACGTAACTTTTTTACTACACGCACGATAAAGATTACGTTGCCATGAACCGCCGACCGTGCAATAATTTTTGCGATCTGCTTTTGCTTTCGTTTGTCGCTTATCTTTCAAACATTAGCGAGAAATGACGGCGCGCTCCAGGGATCCTGCGAATATGCTGGCGTTTAAAATAATCGATACTTTCCCCGAAAGGTCTCCGTAAGGTTACGGAAACGTTTGAGATATCATTTTTTTAACCAATGTTTCTCATTAGATAATCACATCGAAATCGTGGATTTTGCCCACTGTCGCCGTTTCCACAGGGAATTTGTGAGAATAAACAACTCATATCTCTATCTTCGCGAACAATGTCCGCGGATTCGCGACGACGTGACTTATCGACTTAATTAAATGCCTCAACTATGCACCGTCTTGTTAAAACCGCAATGAGAAGCAGTGATGAATGTGGACGTAGATGGAACGTCCTGGCGAAGCCGGAACAACGTCAAATTTATCGGCATCGTTGACTTCGCGATTTCGACTCGCTATTCAAAAATCAGACTTAGGCTCCAAAATTGTCATGCGTAATCTTTCGAATTGCATGTCTAGGAAATAAGTTTACTCGTTCTTCAAAATTAATAAGAAAAATAACGGAATTTCGAAATCCCTGTTACGTTCTCCGGAAGATTGTAATTGCGAAGAGATAAATTGAACTGAAGGATTGCGAATGTCGGGATATTTTCTCGACATTAGAAGAACTTGGTGCACAATAGAAGAATAAAAACTTGCTTCCGCAGATAACTTGATTGATTACTAATAGACATTATTATATAATCGCATAAATGCACAGATAACTTAGTGTTACTTTAGAACAAAATATTGTTGCAACATTGCAATGTGTAATTACGAGCAACCTTGTCAAAATCAGATTTAGAGATACGTGTAGATCGGGTTTTCTTAATCCTTGAAAAAATTAATAAATGCGAACATTTTTTGTCTAATTTTCCTTCATAACGAACACTGGTTAAGCGAGTCTGAATGTTTTTTTACAACGGCATAATTGTGAAATGGAATGAGTAGAGAATTCATGACAACTTGACCACATCCTGTATTAACGCTAGTCTTATAAACATTAATTAATTAACCGCCTGACTTTAAACTTCCGAGATATGTAAATATTTAAGCCCTCGAGATTGTATATACGTTAAAATAACTTTATCATATGCAATGTGTCTTTTATTATAGAAGAATAATTTATCGGTATTTATAATTTCTCTTCCTTCATCTTCTTCATTATAATTAATCATTTATCCTATCAGTTAAAAATTATTTGTACATGTTAGTGATATTATTTTTATTGCTAGAAAACAGGATACATGATCTTGTTGTGGATTACGATTTATTAAAAGTAATCTACAAGAGTTCTTGCATCAATCAATAATATCCTACATTTTCTATTTGTGTTTAGAATAACGTTCGACAAATGATATCCCCGAGCTTGTACAAATTTAAATTTAGGGAAATCACTGATTACGGGATTTACGCGCATGAATGAACCGAGGTCGAAGGGCAGCTGAGGCGACGCAATTTTATCGTCGTGATAAATAAAAAAAAAGAAGTAAAACGAGTCCATTTTTTTCGCTAAACTTGACTCGCAGATGCGCTTTCGGGGAATACTTTCTTATCCGGCGGCGATTTGTGTACATCACCTTTGCGTCCAGCGAGATATCGCGAATTCGACGACCGGGGGAAGTTACAGCCAAGTTTCCCGCAGATGCGTGACTCGTCGGCTACGTAGTGGGGATCGTGGTAAAGCCGAGCGATTTATATAGAAGAAGGAATGCTCGCTACACCAGCACTTCAGTTTCGAACGGTGAATCGCGCGATTGTTAAATCTCCCGGTCCCGTTGGATCCCACTGGTGAAATCTTCGCGTGTTTATCGAGTTCACTGAACGCCTCAGGACATTTGATATCTGAATCATGGTAAATAGATCTTTTCTAATAAGTTTGTTAAGCCTGTCGTAAGAATAATTTCCGAAATTGTAGACAATTTTAAGTGAATATTTTCATAAACATTTACGAGAGAGGATAGCGAAGAGAAGTTATACTAATACTGATTTAGACGAGAGAAATTAACAGTTTATATTTATTTTAATACCAAAGTTTTGCCGATAATAATCTTTCCAAATAATGTAAATATGTAGAACAACAGAAATACAAAATTTCTATGATTGTACTATTGCCCTTCGTACGTCTAAATTCAGATTATTTTCCACTACAGCTGAAATACACTATACTCTTCACCACTGTGTTCTGCATGGTGCAGTCGCAACGACCATGGCACGCGGGTACCGGTAATCGTCTGCCCCAAGTACTGCCTCAATATATCGACGAGCGAATAGCGGCGGAGCAAGCAGCTCAAGCGGGTCAACCGGTTCAAGGGGGCCAAACGATCCAAACGAATCTAGGGACTCAAGGAATCCCAGTGGGCCAAGGGGCACAAGGATTCCCAATAGGCCAAGGGGCTCAGGGATTTCCAATAGGACAAGGGGCACAAGGAATCCCAGTGGGCCAAGGGGCACAAGGAATCCCAGTGGGCCAAGGAGCGCAAGGAA